TTCCTGCTCGAGACGCAACGAGGGGAGGACTCGCGAAGACTGTGGAGCGCTGTCTCTAAATGACTCGCTGCTGGCCGGGGGAGGTCGGGGAGGTCGGGGAAGAAGCGTACACGCTTACCGGCAAACTGACGCGAAGAGTTGCGACTTCCTGTCTTCGAACTTCCGTATGCAGCGGACCGGTGATGTGACCCCTGTGACCTGTCTGAGAGGAAGACGTACTCATGACCGGCAAAGAGTAGACAATCCGCATCTTCGAACGACCAACTCAAGGACACTTTCCGCCTCCGGGATCAGGGGCGACCGGGTGACTCGGTTTACTGGAACGGTTGCCGGGAGTGGGGGACGATACATGAACCGCAAGGAGGTCGGTAGTACCTGGTTCTTAAATGGTTCTATGAAGCGGGCCGGGGGTGAGGGCGCCGACGAGTCCCCGGTTGAAGGGCACCGCCTCCTTCAGTCCAGTCTGAGTCGACTAACCACTACTGCGGAGGCGGAGGCTGACGTGGATGCTTAACGGCCGTTCAGAGCACGCGGCGCTGGGCTCTGTCTCCACAACACATCCCATGCACTTTTACTGTCGGAAGTTACATTTCATCCAACTTTACCTCCAGACATGCGGCGCGTGCCTGTCCATTTCTGACAACGCACGCGCACTTACGCTGACCTGTCCTTTTTACCGTGCGGCAGCTCTACCTTTACCACTAACCCGGCACCTCTATACATTTGCCGCCTCTCCTCCTCTGTTCCGGCTACTCTGGCCCCTCCAGCGAGCACTAAAGTCCGCACTAAAGTCCCCGATTGTTGTTATCGGAGACTTAGCTACCTTAGTTCTCCTCTTGTTCTTTGCTCTCGTCCTGGGGTAAATACTTGGGGATCTTACATTCACATGACGACCATCGGAAGATCGGATGTGCTGGGTTACCGCGAGGTTACCGAATTCACATAATTATTTCTTTTACCGCCCCGGGCTCTGTGGCAATTGGAGAAATGCTATGTTATGGAGTCCCTCTGGGCCCCCTTCTCAACACACAGATCCTGGAAATTTTAATGTCTGGGAATGAAAGAAACTCGACAACTATACGGGATAATTATCAGGTAGTGATGAGACTGCACACACTGCACCTCAGCTCAGCTCGGCTCAGCTCCTTAGGTCCAAAGGAGAGGGCAGCATGCAAATCAAACATAATCAGATTGAAGTAGGAATCTTCAGAGAATGAAGCTTTAGCTCGGCCATGTAAGAACCGAAGACAGATACTGTAGATCGACAGATGGTTCGGTAGACAGATAGATGCATATGAAAGTAGGATTGTAGGGGTGGTGCGAAAAACGAGGCGGGATAGAGGTACAGTGTGGATGGTTTCGTGGGTGGAAACCGAGGAGAGCAGGAGGAGGACGAGAACATTCGCCCAAGCCTCAAATAGAGAGATCCGTAGATGTGATCATAATAGCATAGAAGTGGAAGGGTAGAAGCTCCAAGTAAGCTGAAGCCTGGCTGGACTCGGATGTAATGACAAGGGTGGTCTAAAGCTTCGTCGAGTAGCACCGTGTGAAGCACGCTGCTACTCTACGAATCTCTAGGATCCTCCTCCTGCTCAACTCTCAAACACACCGCCTCCTGCTCCGTCTCCTCCTTCCCTTATACTGCACTGTACTCATGGATTTGCCCATCCCGACTCATGGACTCGTAGAACGGTGCAGCAGTGGATCCATGGCATACGCCCGGTTCAGTCTGAGCGTGATAGTCACCCAAGAGTACAGACAGAACTCATGTATTTCCCATACACGTAATTCACAAATGGATGCCAGCCAGGCCCTTGCGGCCAGTCTCAACTCTGCTCTGATATATATCACAGGCAGACGAGAGAAGGGAAGAAGAGCCCCTTGCGGCCTTCGAGACGCAGGCAGGGGGACACGAAGCAAACAGCGGCCAACAGAGGGGCACAATTACTCACACGTAACAGCAGCTCTCTAGATCTAGCCACTGTGACTAAGCCACCATTCCCCAACGAGCTCAGCTACCGCCCTGCCCCAGATGCGGGACCTTCATCTCCCGGTTTCCTTACTTCTTCCGACGTGCTCACACACAATATCAGTTCCTCATGCTACGCATTTCCCGTGAGCTGTACTTGGTGCACAGTTCGAACTTGAAATCCACAGGTTTTCTCTCTCTTGCGACTCTGAGAGAGAAACTCAGAGCCCCCAGTTGACTCTGACACCCAAGTGCATCTCGCACTCGCACTCTGTACTGTATGAAATGTACGCACCGAAAATCTCAAATGTGCCATCAACCAAATCACGGACATTGATACGCGTACTGTTCGGGATGATTTCGTCACATGTACATACCGCTTGCGCGATAGGGGCTTCGGGCCATTTAATCCCCCGCCCCCCTCCGCCCCCTCGCAATGAAGGAGGAGGAGGAGGAGGGGTAAACTGAAATCTGGTCGGAAGCGCGATGAACCGGACATCGCCGGCGCGACCCGACCGGGCCGGCTCGGCCCGGCCCGGACCGGAGAGGTCCCGGGATACGGGGGTCGTGTTTCGAGGCGAGGGTTGCGCCTCTCGCTGTGGTTGGAACACGGGAGGGAAGCCGGTGCCGGTGGTCCCGCGCGATCCCGACCAAGGTCCCGTCGAGGGTCTTGGGGAGTCCTCGAGAGGGGAGTCCAGGGAGAGGAGGAGGGCCCGGGGGCCAACGCCGGAGGGAGATTCGAGAAACACCAGCTCTCAAAATAGCTCTCAGGTTTTTGGCTGCAGGCTGTCTTCCTCGCCCGCTCCGCTTTCCATAAATCCCCGAGCTGGAGGGCGCGAGCGAGGGGCCCATGGAGCACGCACGGACTCCATTGCGCTTTAGATTTAGGGCGATTTAGGGCGGCGACCACACGAACAGATCCGGTGCCCTCACCGCCCTATCCCGCCCGCCGGTCGGCTCCGCTCAGACTGGCCGGTACGAACGCCGATATCTGCATCGGACGAGCGATCGAGCGTAGACGTAAGGCTGCGAGGAGTAGCGTACCCCGTAATAATAATGTACATCGCACAAGGCTCCGGGGGCCTGGAAAGAGGGTACGATTTATGATGAAAAGATGTGAATGCGGTCGAGGACGGGAGCTCGGGCGAGTAGTGCAGAGCGAGTACACGTACAGCCGTAGTTACTCGAGTCCTCGCACGTACGACCAAGGAAGGAGCGGCACAGGATATCGGAGAGAAGCCGGTTGTGTGCTGCGGAGGGGGAGGGAAAAGGGCGCGGGCTCCACTGTGACCTACGGGACGACATTATGGAGGCACCTGCTACCGGCTGATATGGAAGATTCGGATGTGTGGAACAGACCGAGGGTGGCACATCTGCGACATTCGGGCTACCGTCAGGTAAGGTAAGCTCGGTCTCAACGGACCGGTCCAGGAGGCCAGGAAGAAAGAGAGAAAGAGAGAGAGAGAGGGGATGGCATTGGCTCTGGAGGTGGATAATTTTAGGGAATTGGCATTGGCATTGGTCGAGGACAGGAAAGCAGCCACGAGCAAGCGGGCGAGCGAGTGAGCGTACAGGACTGTAGCCGTAGAGGAGAAGGGAAGTACGACGGGATGCTGTAGGAGGAACGGCAGAAGTGTACTGGACGAGACTGAGCCGATCTGATGTGAGCTGAGCTGAGCTGCCTGTGCCACTGCAGACTACTACTACTACTGCTACAAGTCGCACCACTACTAATGGCAGCAGCTAGAGCTAGCTTGCAATTCGATTGGACTTCGTGTTATTGAAGGGCGACCGAGAAAGTGGGGAGATGCATGAGCGCTACGGGGAGAGGGTCTAAAGGCCCGAGGGTGAGGAGGAGCGGGGGAATGATTCTGTCCTGCTAGTGTTGGTGCTAGCTAGCTCGTGTAGCAGAGGGCGATTGGGTGCCTCATGTGGGCTGCTCGCACGACATTTGCTGAGAGCGAGGAAAAAGTTTGTAGGGAGGTGATCGGAGAGTCCTCCTTAGAGACCCCTGTCCAGCTGCCGAGATAGCGCTAGCTAGCAGTGGATAGGGACTCTCGTGTGAGCGAGCTCGGAGTTGGAGAAAGGGCAGCGAAAAAGTTTCGGATGTGAAGAGAGAATTTGTCCTGTTAGTAGTATTTCAGCTACCAACAGAAAGCGTAGGGGGCCATCGAGTGCTGAGAGTTTGATGGGAGCCGGAGTTTTGGACGTGAAGTGAGAAAAGAGAAGATGCCGGACTGGAATGAGCTGCCTATCCTAGCGCTAGTCCTAGCAGACCAGCTACTGGTAGCTAGCGGCCATTATATAGCAGTACATAAATATTTTTACGAGGCTTCCTTCCATCACCCTTCGGCGACTTACAGCGCTGGGAAGTGCGAGTCTCGGGCCCGAGCGGAACGGGAAGTGGAAGGGCAGCGGCAGGGCAAAGGAGGGCCGGAAGAGAGAGCGAAGAGAGAGCCGAGAGTGAAGAATGATGCGTTGGCACATTGGTCGGTTTGCACGGCGCCTTAGGCGCCGTCTGGAGCAGAGAGGGCCGATGACGTCTGACATGAAGTTCACTTGCACTTACAGAAGGAAACAATATAATACTTCGGGAAGAGGGAAGCTGTGGACTGACCGGTCCAGAGCTTGATCGCGAGCAGACAGATGCACCCACAGATGCTATTTTTCGCCTCCTTTGTGCAAGAGAGAGTTGTACGTTGGAAGTTGTCTGTCTGACTGTTCTGATCCCGTCCCCTCTTCTCTTCGAGCACTTCTCTTAGGAGCATAATTACGCCGCAGAAAGTAACTGTGGGAGAAACGAGAGCATCCGCCTGCCCCGGCCTGCCTTGTCTTCCCTCTCCTTCCCTCCCCTCTCTCCCCTCCCCTCCCCTCCCCTCCTCTCTCTACCCCTCTGCTTCGTCCGCTTGCAGCCCTGACCAGCTGCTGCAGCAGTTGCAGGCGATGGAGGGCCCTACCTCGCTCCATCCCCTCGCCTGCTCTTCTCTTGTATATGTGTGTCGCTCAGGCCTCATCGAAGTCCAATTGCTGCAATTATTCTCCTCAGCAGAGTCTCACTCGTCCACCATCCTCCAGCCGCAGCAGCGGGAGACTAGCGTTCCCAGTCTCTATGTCCATCTCTCGCCCAGACACAGCTACCCGTAGCAGGAGTCCCATCACTTCGATCATCCCAGCCCAGCATTCTTCTGCACTCTCCGCGAGCTGCTGCTCGATCTGATTAGACTTGTTGGCACCTCCTCACTGTCTATCTATCAGGTCAATCCATCCATCCCTTCCCACCTCCCTCCCTCCCTCCTTCAGGGCCTGACTGCACTTCTCCCGACTCTATATAGCCCGAGCATTTGAGTGGATACAGGAGGCTCGAGCTCCCAGCACTTGCTCTCTCACAGACTCAGAAACACACGCACAACTAAGAGCAGAGAGAGAGAGAGGGAGAGTCTGAACAAGCTGGTGACGAGAGGGTCGTCGAGGGGAGATGAACAATGGGACACGGCCAACAAATCTACTCCTGTACCTTACGTCCCGTCTAGAGCAGTCGGGAATTTCCGGATGCACGAAGCTAAAGAGGACGCTGCGAACTCGTTGATCGCATCGCATCGACGCCGTAATCCCAGCATTGCTCTGGATTGACGATACTCGTCCGCGAAGCACTCGCTCCGTCCATGAAGAACAATATATCAAGTACATTGACGCTCATGTGAGCCGAGCCGAGCTGAGCTGCGCGACATGGCCGGCGACTTGACTCAGGGTCAGGATTATCACAGAAATATGTAGAGGCAGCCGCGGCGCAGACAATCGTCCAGCCAATTCCGCTAATTCAGGGAAGTTCGTGAATGTATCGCGTCGTCGGAAGATCTGCTCGAACTCCAGTCGAGGATCGTCACGGCGACTGGCTCGGGGGCGTGTCCAAATTTTACCTGCTGCAGCTGGGCGAGCGAGCTGCCCTGCTGTGTCTGCCCGGGCGACATTCCGAATAAATGCAGGAGACAAGGAGCATAAGGACCTGTTAGCGTGCCGAGCTCGCGCGAGCTCTGTCCGTCGGCTCGGGGCTGCTGCTGCCAGCAAGCGGAACGAGCTCGGGACTCGAAGAACAAAGCAGCGACAATGATCAACGCGCACGATCTCTACAATGTCCTCAGCGCGGTGATACCGCTGTACGTGGCCATGATCCTGGCCTACGGGTCGGTGAAATGGTGGGGGATTCTGACGCCGGATCAATGCGGGGGCATCAATCGCTTCGTGGCCGTGTTCGCCGTGCCGCTGCTGTCGTTCAAGTTCATCGCGCTCAACGATCCCTACACCATGAACTACCAGTTCATCGCAGCAGACGCCATGTCGAAGATCGCCATCCTGATTCTGCTGGGCCTGTGGGCGCGCTACACCAAGCGCGGCAGCTTCGACTGGATGATCACCATCTTCATGCTGGCCACGCTGCCGAACACGCTGGTCATGGGCATCCCGCTGCTGCGAGCCATGTACGGGGCCGAGGCCGGGTCGCTGGTGATTCAGGCCGTCGTGCTGCAGTGCATCATCTGGTACACGATGCTGCTCTTCCTGTACGAGTTCCGCGCGGCCAAGACGCTCATCATGGACCAATTCCCCGAGACGGCCGCGTCGATCGTCTCGTTCAAGGTCGACTCCGACGTCACGTCGCTGGATGGGCGCGAGCCCGTGCAGACCGAGGCCGAGGTGGGCGACGACGGCAAGCTGCACGTCAAGGTGCGCAAGTCCGTCTCGTCGTCGCAGGGTATCTCGTCGCGCCGATCGCAGGGACTCCTCTCGATGCCGTCGTCCAAGGCGCTCACGCCGCGCCCCTCCAATCTGACCGGCGCGGAGATTTACTCGCTCCACTCCTCCGTCAATTTGACGCCCCGCGAGTCCAGCTTCAATCACACTGACTTCTACTCGATGATCTCGGGTCGCGGCGGCAGCCCGCGCCAGTCGAATTTCACGTCCTCCGACGTCTACTCGCTGCACTCGTCGCGCGGCCCCACGCCGCGTACCTCAAACTTCAACGAGGAAAACTCGAAGGACCTGCACAGCTACGCGCGCGGCGCGTCGCCCCGCTTCCCGCCCCCGGTCTACCACGCCTCCGGGCATGTGTTCGGGCGCAGCCACGCGGGTCTCGGCGGGGGATTCGACGGCAGCCATCTGGGCATCATGGGCCGCGGCGGCTACCCGGGCAGCAACGTCGGGGTCTACTCGCCCACGCCGTCGCAGATCACCAAGAAGATGGCGGACTCCAAGGCCACGACGGCCAAGCTCGAGGACGACGCCGCCAAGGAGCTGCACATGTTCGTCTGGAGCTCCAGCGCCTCGCCCGTCTCCGAGGCTGGCCTGCACGTCTTCGGCAACCAGGACTTCTCGCAGGACGAGGCCTCGCGCAACAACGATTTCGACGCCAAGGAGGTCCGCCTGCTCGTCCTCCCTGCGCCCGACAGTGCTGCGCCAGCGCCCGCCGCCGCCCCCCAAACCTCGTCCTCCACCCCCACCCCGATTACCTCCACTGCCGCTGCTTCCGCTCCGCCCCCAGCTCCTGGCGCTGTTGGCACTGCCCCCGAGCAGCGAGGTGCGTAACTCTCCACGCCCGCCTTCCCTCTCTTTCACTTTCTGCAGCCTCGTGCTGGAGTGGAGACGATGTTCATCGCGGGGGATTGGGATTTCGACGAGGTTTTTTTCTCGGCGTCGGATGTGCGAATTTTGGAGCGCGATTTTGTGTGTTTTTATTTTTTTGGGGGATTTGTGGGGATTGCTGGTTTTGATTTGGGGCTCCGACTGATGCTCGTGCTTGTTGTGGTGGTCGGCAGGTGGGACGCCCGAGCTTACGCGCCAGACGTACGAGGAGTACGTGCGCGAGGACTTCAGCTTCGGGAACAGCAAGGGGTTAGGAAAGGACGAATCCGAGAAGGATGGGCCGAGTTTGTCGAAGAAATTCGGATCGAGCTCGACGACGGAGCTCACGCCGAAGCTCGTCGATGACCGCAGGAATCAGAGCATGCCTCCTTCGAGAGTGATGATCCGGCTGATTTTGGACATGGTTTTCCGCAAGCTCGTCCGCAATCCCAACACTTACTCGAGTCTGTTCGGGATCATTTGGGCGCTGATTTCCTTCAAGTATGGTCGCCTCACCATTCCACTCGCTGATTTTACATGCTCGTCGCGTGTCGTTTTGATTGCTGGTCGGATGCGGACATCGGTCCACATCCGTGAATCTTTTCTTTTTTAATGACCTGTTCGTGTACGGTCCGACCTTTACGAGTGAGATTTTTCAACTCTCGCGGAGTCAAACTCTCCAACCGGTCAGCAATTTGGCATCACTGTGATGCTGATGGTCAATTGCCCGAAGGGCCTCACGCCGATTGTCGTTTGCTCAATCCTCCATGAAGGAAGTGTGGATGCTGTTCCGCAGTCAACATCGCACGTTAATGTCGTCTAGGGACAGCCCGAAGACGGGCTGGTCCGTCCCTGTCTTCTGGTCTGAGAGTACGTCGGGGGGATTCGGACCTCAGACTTCTTCCCGAACCTTTGTTCGCCTCGCCTAATAAGTCGAGATTAAGGACAATAATCACCGACCTTAAGTATTATAATGTTATTGACCTTAATTCGAATCGCTCGATGTAATCAATCATCTTCCTGAGCTGCCCCTCCAGCGCGATGATGAGTGAACACTTCTGAGAAGCTTTGCTCTGCTGATTTGCAGGTGGCATGTGAAGATGCCGAAGCTCATCGACAACTCAATTAGCATTCTCTCGGACGCTGGTTTGGGCATGGCCATGTTCAGTCTCGGTAAGCCAGAATCTCCGCTGTATTTTTTATTGTCTGCTGAGTTTCGTGAATTAAGTGAATGTTTGCTCGTGCTGTCGACTAATCCGGCCCTTAGTCACATAATCGGTAATACAATCACGTCTCGATCTCGATCATTAAACCTACGATCTCACTGTTGCAAACTTCCAGCACAGCCTATGGCGATGCAGCGTTCTGATGGTGGTGAGTTTTTTGCCCGGCAGGACTCTTTATGGCGCTTCAAGGACGTCTCATTGTGTGTGGATATTCGGTGGCAGCGATGTCGATGGCCATTCGATTCGTCACAGGTCCGGCTGCTATGGCAGCTGCCTCCGTCGCCGTTGGATTGAAAGGAAGCTTGCTGCATGCCTCAATTGTGCAGGTAACCTCACCCCACCAACCTCTCGGCCGAATGCCGTCAGCAATTATTATTTGGTATCGTGTCTTGGGAGTTCTGCATTCACTGCGCTGCCACACGAGGGCGATTTCGCCCATGGGCAGAACATGGGCAGATCATGGGTACAGTGTCGTGCAAGCAAAGCAGAGAATTTCACTTCCTGATGGTCAATGGCCTCAATAAAACTAAATCAGGCCTAGGAAGCGTATACTCGCGTTGAACTTTTAGAGCGTTATCAGGAATTTGCATGAATGTTGGACGTCTCTGACTGAGCTCGAAGATGAATCCGATGGATGATCACGACTGACCATCCGAGAGGCCTTGTGTGCGTCCAGGCCGCTCTGCCACAAGGAATCGTGCCGTTTGTTTTCGCGAAGGAGTACAACCTTCACCCGGATGTTCTCAGCACATCGTAAGTCCCCCTCCGCCTCTCGAAGAAACTGGCCCTCCTCTTGTTTTCTCAAGAGAGATTTCGATTTAATTTCCTGGCGTTTGCTTGGCGCATCGTATCACATGTCAGCCTGTGAGGTCTAGTTCGGGCACACACTCGAGTGCAACGTCGCTGACATTGAATCGTGGGACCCTCTCGTGAACTGCAGGGTGATCTTCGGCATGATCATATCACTGCCCATAACGCTTGTGTACTACGTACTTTTGGGCCTGTAATTTGCCATGAAGTGTGCCTCAAAGGAGGATCTTTTAGACAGACTTGGATTGTTGGATCATGAATTCGAGCTTGAGCATTTCGGGAGGGCACCCTTCCTTGGCATTTTTTGATGAGTTAATTTTATCCAAGTAGTAGGCAAGCGGATTTTAGTTAAACCACCGGGAAAAGAGTATTTGAACCTTTCTATTCACTTCCGGTAATCACCAACACTGCTCCACTGGACTGGATCTCAACGGAGGAGCCAGACCTTCGGATTAGACTGGAAAGGGAAACGCAACGTGGATCTGATATAGTACTCCTCTGTATCGACATCGCACTGGCGCGGAGACATAGACTTCCTTCAGAAATCTTTGTGAGTGACATCATTTTCCTCTCTTACACTTCTGACTCTGGCAATGACGCATTTCTGGAAGCATTTGGCGTTAAGAACTGCCGTGTCGCATGGAAACGAGCATTATCACCGTGCTGTCAGGGATTAGGAAAGGTGCAAAATATCGAGTGTCTGTTGCTGACAAACACGTGTGGCCGACTGATGCAGGCAAAAAAAGATGGAGGGTGTATCAACAGGACACGTCCCAGTGTTGGAGAACAGGCAATTTTTCCAAAAGTGTTAGCCTATGTGGTGACCTTAACTGAATGTACACATCTGTGTGGTATAGTCGTCTCTCATCAATAAATTTCTCCTTGTGTATATTTTGACACATAAAATGTCCGCCCGCGCACTCGCACCGTGGTGAAAAATGAGCACGCGTATGAACATGAGCATGTGATGTGTGTCCATGGTCGATGGGGGCATGAATTTTACCACGAATTGTCGACCGCTTTTGAGAATTGCTAGCCTCCGGGAATCAGGCCGCAGGCCAGGACTATCCATCCAGCAATGGCACCCAAAAAGTTCACAATTCGGGGCTTTCGGCCGTAAGGCGCTCCCGTCAGAAGACAGGGCTCTTGACTCACCGTCGGCGCTTTAGTGATTCGCTCCCCCGTCTGATACACTTTAGGACTCCTGTCCCAGATGAAGATTTGAATAATGACCGAATCCCCCGACTGTTGGTCGGGCCAGCGCACCAGCCAATCTTCCCGGAACGAGCTGTCAAAGCTGACAAATGCTGTTATCAACCACATTCAGTCAGGTGAATGCTGTGGACAAATCGACGAGGAAGTACAATAGAGTTAAAACTAATCATGAATGTGGTGGCTCAGTCCTTGCGCCAGTCAGCAAGGTGCCAACCTCGCCACTGTGCAGAGTACTCTTTGGACTTTTATACATTACCCTCGGAATCTTGGCATCACCTTTCCCACTTGGACTCTTCTCGCAGTCTGCTCCAGCTCCCGACTTCGCACAGGGGCCTGTGGTGATCCACATTGTTTCGGAGCCTCGCTCGCATCGTGGAGCTGACCTTTTTTTCCCCACTACGCTGCACTTTCTAGCCCCGGATGGACGTCCGAGGATGGCCTCTGAAGCTCTCTGATTGCGCCACTGGAACCTCGTCGAAGATGGAAAGCACCAGTCCCTACGGGGGTCCGAAATGGCTTCCGGTGGTGGTTGTCGTCGTTGTGGTGTTGTAAACCGCAGCGAGTGACTGTACCCCTCACCATCCTTGACCTACCTACACTTCCCCCTCTGCTTCCACGACGAGGTGGCGGCAGATTGGTGGCGAGCCTCCCTCCGCCTTGTCTTGGGATGGGCCAGCATGATATTTTGCGCCCATCTCGATTGAAGTCGAGAAACCTGTATGCCGAATGTCAGACCAACCGAAGGTTTCAGAATCTTCGATACTCGGGCACAGCTGGGCTGAACTTCTGAGTCCGACTCTGTTCCCACCTCCGGATCAGTTGTGGTTGTACGCTTCGTCCTCGTTACAGTCTCGATGCAAGGAACAGCAGAAGGACTAGCTGAAGTAAACCGAAACCGTGGACAGGTCGTGAGGATTCTCAGAATTTAGCCGCGGGTAAAAGCCTCATAGACACTTGGAAAAGGACGCACGAGGAGAGAAACCGGTCCCTCTCGGTGGGCATTTGTTCGTGACAAAGCCCGTCACATACAAACATCTGCCACGGGTTCGTTCCGTACCCAGTTGCCCAGACTGGTCAACTTGCGCCCACCAAGATATACTACTGTACTGATGTCGACGATGAGGCAGGACAACGTCCTCTGCTGTCCATAGACCACCAGCCTCTGACGGAAGTTGTGAGTTCAATGGGATTGGATAAACAATTTCTGCATGTTCTCATCCGTTGTACAGACCACACATGTGCCAGCTTGTCTAGATTTCGTTCACGAGTATCTGGTTTCCCCATGACGATCCTGCACTCTCAGCAACGATGCGTTTTTGATCGTGATGCAAGATTGTCTTTTCTATGATAGTATTACTTTATGGAGAGTGACGACATGTGTCGGATCCATCTTGTGCACGGGCCAGGGGTACTTCTGATTATATACTTCGGCTACAAAATTCCCTTGCCCCTCAAGGTTGAAGAGGTACCACTGCACTTCTGTTAACTTCTCGCTCAAAATGCGTTATTCTATCTTCTCATTGAGGTCCTGCTGGCAATTTTATACATGTAACCACTAATGCTTGAACGACTGGGTGTAAAAGGAATCAGGTTCAGTCAGCTTATGGTTCCGAGTAATACTTAGTTAGAGCACACTGAATTCACGTCCTGTACCACGTTCAATAACAGTACTGAACGAGATGATATTACTTTCGTCTGCAACATGCGACCTAGCTAGCCAGCGAAAGTGCTATGGCATTTGTTAACAAACCTCACGACAGCTTGCCTGGGATCCACATCCAAGAACAAAAACATGATACTCAAAAGCTTCCGACATGAAGCAGATTCATTATATATGTCACAACAAAAGCGGAGAAACATATCCAGCTGGCCGCACAAGTTGAATTCAGTAAAGAAGGCATCTTCCAAACAAGAGATTCTTGCCCACAAATGTCATCATCTTTGCTAGTCTTCGAAAACATGGATCCGCCTGTCATAACTTACAAACAAAATCTCCACATTCTTAAGATGAATCTCGTCTCTTATAAATCATCTTTGTTTCCAAAGATATTCTCCTTGCAACACAGATGACAACTAAGTAGACATGCAAACATCGATTCGATGTGATTTTTTTCGTTCGTACTCCACAAAAAACCAACCAGAAGATAATAGGGATGACACACTGGAACATGCCGCCTCAGTTGAAACAGAAAAATCAGGCAAGAACTCCAAGGCCAAGTTTGCTCCATATTGTAAACATTACGAACTCATCAACCATAGCCACCACTCTTGTATCGAAAAAGTTGATCGAACGAGCGATCAGATAGCCTCTTTCAAAACGCTCGACCCTCTTTGTCTTATTGCTTGGCTTCCAGATAATGTTTGAACGTGAGTGAGCACTTGTGACTCACTGGTACAATTTATTCCGATGACTACTATACAGGACAATGCAGAAGAATAAACCGGGTGCAGACCTACCTTCAGAACTCTGCCAAAAATGTACAAACTGGTATTCAGTCTTTGACCTTGTAAAGCCCATGGTAAAATCTGAAACCTACTTGCTAAGCGCGGGGCTACCGGTTCGCTCGTTGAATTTTCATCTGGAGAACAGAATCTCAACAATATGCATGAGACTCTATGACCTCATGTTATATCTTATCTCCAATAATTAAACATACTAGCTCGTCTTGACGACGCCAAGTGGCTACAAAAATGAATTTCACCAGAGTACATCATATTACCCCAAAAAATGTCTCTATGTCGTAAAAGACTCTCCACAGCCACACTGCCCTTTGGAGTTAGGGTTGATGAAAACAAATTCTGATCTGCAAAAACGCAATCGACGATTTTCTCTTAGTTCGCTACACTAGAAGAGCATACTGATGTGAACATCGTAAACATTGTCTAAAAGGCCAGCATACTCGAAAACTCTAATTCCGATGTCTTGCGAAACAAAATGGACTTCGATCTATAGGTGAGCTTTAAACCCTAGAAGTGTAGAAATGTCCAGACACATGTAGAGAACAATGTCAAATAAGCGAACAGACGAAAATTTAGGGCAATTCAGAAGAAATACGAACTTGAGACGATCTTCTATATAGTCCATCTTTGTTCCGATAACGTGCATCAGGGCCCGAGGGTCAATCAACACCTTGACTCCCTTCTCTTCCACGATCTCGTCGAACTTGCCTTTGTCATCTGCAATTCGGAATGAACGATCTCAGAATTCACCACTGCCAGCCAGACACAAAACGACCGAACCTGGATTACGATACGGTACTATTTACTGCTACCACGAAAGCAACCGGAAAAATTTCCAAGCGAACTCACCAGCATAATTAAGCGTGTACGTGAGTCCATTGCAGCCGCGAACTTTAACACCCAATCTCAAATACTCTTTCTGCCTCAACTGCAAGAGCTTCCGGATTCTATCGGCAGCAGCTTCGGTGAGCGACAGAGCCTGCCGCCTGGCCGCAGAGGATGCACTCCTTCCTGTCCTGGCTGCCGCACAAAGCATTATCCTCGAGCGGCCACACCCAATCCACCAAACCTCAAGCGCGAAAAGCGCTCGCAGAACGACGACGACGACTAATGCTTATACCAACCAACTCGCGCCCAATGCTTCGCCACAACAGCAAATTCGAATTCGCTGCAATCTTCTCGTCCGAGCTTTTCACCAGCCAGCCTCCTTCGCTTCGTGCTCACTCGTGTTGTCACTGAGGGGCTCGTGGGTTCGTTGGTTCGCCGCTTCGTGCTTCGTTCGGGTTTAGTTCGTTGACGCACGCTCGCTCGCTCGCTCTCTGGTCACCAGAAGCAGCCCTGTCTGACGCTCTGACCCCCCGATCTCCCCGAGTCCGCTGTGTGCCTCACACGCTTACGCGACGATGACAACAGTCGCATCACCGGCACCGGCTCCAGCACCAGCATCGACGTGGTCGAACCGATCCTTCGCACGAAACTACGTCCGGCAAGAAAGCGATTTGTATTTTCGTCAGTGTTGTCCTCCGAAATTGTTGCGAGTCATCTCTTCTCTCCGATATTGCCTTTCTAGATTCGAGGCCTCCATTTAGTTCACATATCACGTATGCTCCTTCTCTATAGTCGATTTGTTTGGCTTTATATTCTTTTCGTCTATCTTTGTCACACTTTGTATAATAACTATGTCCGTCTTGTTTGGTATATGTAAGATTCAAATATAATATATTTATCAAGGAGTAACATATTAATATTATACGTAATATTACTTGTATTCAAATATTATATTACATCAATGCTTGCTTATAGGTTTCATTGTGATGATTGCAATTAATTGTTATAGCAAGAGAATATCTTAATTGTGATAGAACATAGTAGATTAATTTTTGATACGAATATGAACGTGACATTCAGTATGGCGAGAGAGTCACGCGATTGAACTCCTATAACTTCTAGTTAACTCTTGTATAGGCAGATCTATATGTTATCCACAAAGATTTTTTTAGAAAGTTGTGGACAACTTTCTATCTACACATGGACATAATTTTGGAAAAGAATCTAGGTGATAGATAAATCTTCTTGGAATGAAGATACAACCAAGGGTTTGAAGTTAGAGATATAAATAGATATGTGTTTTCTCTTCCTCTTGTATTTTATTATATGTAACTATAGGAAAAAAACATTTGACATGTGAGAGAGCGAAAATGATTCAAATATATTAGGCCACATAGAGTATATAATTATTAAAAATTTATTGAGCATATTTTGCGATGTGTGAATAGATATTTAGTTCTAAATATATCTCAGTTAAGAGATTGATTTTTAGCAACAAATCTTTATATAAATAGTACTGCAGGTCTTCCTCCCCGAAGCAGTCAAGCTGCTTAAAAGTAGGAGTTGTCCTCACAGTTTGGGGGAATCCCATCAAGCAACCGCTAATTTAGATTTATTTAAATAAGTGTTTATATTAAAAAATGCTAATAATTCAATGATACGTTTTGTGATAGGCTGAGTATCAACTAAGGGGATCTATTTAAAAAAATGGTTAACATGTGTCTCAGCTTTACTCATTAAAAAAATATGTAATATGCATCAGAACATTATTTGTGCACATATTTATGGCCTATTTCATACATATATATATATATATATATATATACATACATTATTTCCATTTTTTCGGAAGATTCATGTGTCAAATGAGAATATCCTATAGAGTCACAAACTGCTTTCTCGTGGCTCTAATTAAATGCTCAGCTTACAACGGCGAACTTTCTACACACAGACACTTCAGCTGCAGCATGCTGGAATCATCAAGCAAGTACTCCGACATTCGCAGCGCGAATTTCACCAGATTTATATATACGTTGCGTATTCTTTGTGTTCAAGAAAAAAGCGAAAGAGCCTGTGAGCGCTCGGAAGGCAAAATAAATAGTGCGCTCCTTCGACCACCGGAAGCGATTTCTCAAATAAACATAGACGCCGACGTGGCAACCGCAAGGTGGTGCCAAGTACGAGAAACTTCAGCTTTCTTCGATAGTTGTTGGGACACTGTGATGGCATGACCCAACGACAGGTCCTGGATGACATGGAGTCTTGGACCCATGCAAGTCTGTTGACTTCTTCTTCTGTCCTCATTATTCTCCCCGAATCATCCATCACCCACATATTCCAGAAGGAAAAGCGCTCCCAAAAACAATTCACAAAACCGATTCCAAGGAAAATTGATACATTAAAACTAATTTCGCATCACCTAAGATGTAAGACCAATAACAGAAGCGATTTGGACCGAGTAGCTTGCAAATACGGCGAGGGCGAGGGCGAGTATCTCGGATGTGAGTACAAAAAAATCTCCTCTAATCCGATCGCCTGCGCAGGGATCAGCCAGCCGAGATTAAATGAGCCGTGCCGAATAATATGCTCTGAACAGGACTCAGAACCGAGTCTCTCGCTCGGGCGAGCGAAACCGTGAACGAGAGGAGGTGTTCATTTTTAGCAGCGTGTGCGTCCTTATGAGCCACTCCGCGAGGCGGCCGTAGAGAGAAACGATCGAGCAGTGGCAGGCCGACCACGAATTGCCATTGCCATTGCCATTGTCAGAAGGCTCGTCCCCGCCTGCATTCGGAAACCCGCGAAGTTCAGCTCAGCGCAGTGTGAAAGCGGACAGAAAGTCGCTCGAATCCGGGGATCGTCGATAGAGACGCCATTCAGAAAAGAACGACCGGAGGCCTGGCCGCGGACCGACCTCCTCCCCGTCGGATGAAGACACACGACACCATTACGACACACCTCGCTCTCATAAGCTGACTGGATAGGCTGACTGGCTGACTGGCTGCCGGGTTTCACATGTCAACGGTCCGATTGGCTCCCCGATTCAAGATCTCGGCCTGGCTACTTGGCAAGGCAAGGAGAGGGGGAGGGGAGGCGGATTTGTGCAGAGGACGGGGCGCTAGAGATCAGGACATCTTCGAGGGGCATGTGAGTGCCTAGATTCGAGTGGAGTCGGCCTTCCGGAGATCGGAAGATGGCGGGCTGCGGATTGCTCGCGTCGATGCATTTAGCTTGTAGTGGCTCTTATTCTTTCAATCCGCGGGCACGATTGGTGAAAACGCCATTGCTGTCGAATTCGGGGGTGCGTTGTGGGGGGCGAGGAGTGAGCGGGAGAGGCTGTAGCAGGTCTGTGCCTTGTGGCGGTAGTGGGTTTGAGTCTCGATTGTTGAGGAGTTGGGCGCCGACGACGCGATGGAATTCGAGGGGATTTTTGCAGTTGAGAGCGGCGGGCGGGAGCTCTAATGACAGGAGAAAGAAGGGACCTTCTTCCAAAGATGGGCCTGGCAAAGGGAGCCCCGAGAAGAAGGTGGACCGTAAGCAAAGAGATAATGTGTGGAGTTCTGAGGAGCCTCAGCGATCGGCGAAATCGTCAGCGAAGAAGGGGAGTGAGGGAAACAAAGGCGGGTCTAATAAAAATGGAAAGGGAGGTTCTCGGCCTCGTGCTTCTGAGAGCTCGAAAAAACCTCCAGTTCCGGCGGAGAAGAAGATCTCCCATGAAGAGGAAGACCTTGAATTTCTGAAATATTTGTCGCCACCACTGCCAATTGAAAGTGAAACGGTGCTTCATCCCGAGGTGTTACTCCTAAGCCATCTATACTCTAAGTCGTGGTTTGTCTCGGGCGTTCGTCCTATGATTGTACTGAGCTTCTTGTCCTTTGTGTATGTGGGTAGACATTGACATTGCGGGATATTGTGAACGCACACGCACACATTCCTTCCCTTGCAGATCCGGCTTCTTTCATATTACAGTTACCTTTCATTTAATTGCAGCCATCTTTTCTGCCATAAGCACACGGTGTATCGCCAATCGCCGATTTTGTACAAGTGTTTTATCATGAGATTTTATTTTGTCTGCAATGTCACCAACATAATACCAGAAGGTATTATGTTTCCTCATTAACCCACTTCTGGCCTAAACCAGCTTCAACTCGCGTTGCAGCAATAATATGGGATAAATTTCTGGAAGGCGGTTGCAAGGATCCATCACCTCTTTCTTTTTTTTTTTTCTTCTCTAGAGCCAAAACTGAATTGGTTAAGACCTGAACCTCGATGTTGACTGCCGTTTTGCGTTCTGTATATATTCCCAAACGTGTAGCTTCTGCATAGTTCTGTGACAGTAAATGGCATGGAAGTTGACTTTAGTTTTCAGCGCAACATTACAAACGGATTACAAGTAGATAACTCTGGAATAACTCGAGTCTGTTTTCTACGAGATCTAAGTTATATCCGATCCTCCAAAACTAGATTATTAGGACCATTCTTGGTCCTGTAAGAAACTTGAGCTTCAAGGCGTATACCAACTGGGTGCAGTGGTGAGCGATATTTTATTCTGGCAATTTCTTCTTTTACAATGAATCCTATTGCTGGTACACAAACCAGGTTCAGGTCAAAGGTAAGAGATCGCTCATAACGAACATCGAAATCTTTGGTGAAGTTTTGCGTTGTATCTGTTAACTCAGTTTGGTTCTGGCCTCCAGCGAAAACTCTTTGCTGACCGCTTAAACACGAAAAGAATGGGAAGCTGTAAAATAAGAACCCGGAGATTTCGTTACTGAGTCTATATCGTTCTTGCTGTTAATAATTTCAGGAAAGCTTTGCAAACCCACTGTGGAGCACATTCTGCAGCAGTACTTCAGGAGTGTGGAGGGGTGTAGGGGCAGCCTTTTCCCCCATAACGGCCGAGTTAGAAGCTCTGTACTTGAATAAGCAGAAAGAGTACCTCTATGACGCTCGTATACTAAACACCGTAGAGGTTGTTAGAAAAACTCAGGACGGAGAGCAACTGCCACTGGAAAATCATTATCTCAATCGAAGAGTGCTCTGGTCCCTCGAGAACCCACTCGGGGAAAAGGGTCTAGGTCGGGTGAGGGTAGCAGAGGATGCAGAGGAAGAGAATGCAAGACTCAGTTCCTTCTTTCGAAAGGGCACTCCTTACATCGGAGGAACGTCCCATTCCGTGGACGATGGCGATGATGATGATCTGGGGTACTGGGATGAAGAAGAAGACACTGAGGACGACGGAGATGAGGCTGTGGAGTACGATGCTGAATGGGAGTCCATAGTAGGAACTGCAGAGGACATCGATACTAGATGGATAAATGGGAAACCAGACAACTTAGACGTCATGCCAGAGCTGAAGGTAGATGTGGGCACCATTCGTGAGGATGGTAAGGAGTGGAGAGCGATGTGGAATCGTGGAGAGGTTCTGGAAGGTGACTGGGAACGGTTGGCTTCGCCTGCTGGGGAAATGGAGAACGGAATCAATGGTTCAAAGTACTCCAGTGAGGCCTACGCTGCTCCTCTTCTCCCACCGAACCCAGCTGGACCTACTTATGCTCCGGAGCATCTGACAGACGCGTTGGGCACAACTTGGGCGGATGTAATGGAAGAAGACGTCATGGAGCAGGAAGAAGGTCTCGTTTACTTTGAGGTCTCTTTCTCACTCTTAGCTTGAACGTACCATGTTATCTGGATAACTGTTCTGAAAATTGCCTACCAGAGCTACAGTTCGTTCGCTCCTCATTGATCGACGCTTTAATGGCTGGAGACTCAGATCTTAATTATTAGTTTTCAGGCCGTTGATGCCGTCATTCTATGGAAGATTTATTAGAAGACTAAGCTGAGTTAACGACTCCGAAGACTAACATTTTTATTCTGTCTGAACGAAGAATTTGCTCCTTAGCATGTTTGTTCGCTGAACGTACTTTATCGTTTACGAAGTTCATTTTTTTTCAAGTGGTATCGCTGTAGGTAGGAGCTCTCCGCGAACTCTGTGTAATATGAGATCAACGCAGCAATGAAGTTGAGCATTATGATCGGCTGATTGCAGGATGGCTCCTATTCAAAGGGACCCTTGGAGCTCTTGACTGAAGCATCCACAAGTGGCCGAGAGTACTTCAATGCTTACACTTGTAAAATCGAACAGGTATGTGACTTGCAAATGCAAATGCAATGCTCGAAGAGTTCAAAGTTGACAATGTTTTCGTCAAATCGTCTTCATCCTAGATGTGCCTTGTTCGTTAAAACATCTGTTTTGCACATTCTCTCTCCAAGGCTGGACAGCAGTAGATCACTGTACGCCTTACTTGTCTCACATGACGTCAATTGATCAATGCCTGCACTCCTGTTCAGCACAATATGTTGCCTTGTAGGATGCTTAGAGTGTGGTACTTTTTGGTACCAGCTCAAATTGAGGGTATACAGTGCGGACTGTCCAGGGTTTTCTCCAAGTCCGACTTAATTGATATGTAGGTATGGTGGATAAAGCATGTGGTACATGCAGTCGTGAAGCTCCGGCTGTGCAAGGAACGCCTTCACTGGATGACATTTTAAGATGACTGATAAAGTATTGTGTCTCTCTCGATCTGATCGTCGTTACCACTGCCTTCTCAGTGTCTGGTGGCTGGCGGTCATAAACGACTTCGCATCGTGCACACCGTCTCCGTCGAGAGCGAAGGCGAACAAGTGGAGGTTCTTCGAGTGGCTGTGTACGAGGAAGAATGGATGGGGCCGTGCAATATGAAGTCTATTAGGTACGTCAGAGTCGTGCCATACTACCTTCTGTCAATCCTTATCTTCTTCTTCTTATTGTGGACCCTCAAGAAGTCAGTAAACTGATGCAAGGAATCGTTATGCGAGTGTTCCAGTGACGCTGGAGGTCAGCAGCTCAAGCTCTTCTCAGACAGGCCTCGCCATTCGCCCCATGAGCTGGTCGGATCGTGGAAGGTGTTCGAGAAGGAAGCTATGGCATATCACCCGGCCAAGGACTCCTCCGAGAAACCATCCTTCGTGCACTCCTGCAGGGAAATAGCTGTGACGAGGGGAGAACCCGAAATGCCCGAAGAAAGCCCAGACTACAGTCCCGAAACTGACGACGAGCCCGTGGACATGAGCGAATTCAGTATGCTGTGGCTGACTGGAGGTGTCTCCACTTACGTAGAAGTGAACGAGACCGGAATGTTGACCTTCGGGGTCGGTTGGCTGTCCGGAAACGGTAGCAGGCTGGTCATGGAGAGAGTATATAGCGAAGACGGTAAGCTGCTGCATGTGAAATCCAAAACTGAGATTGAGGCCTCCCTCGGAGTTCCTATGTAGGTTTGCTTTGGAACGAAAGTACTACCACGATATGATGAGCAGCCGCACTCGACTACAAAATACAGATGAACGCAAGCAGTGCCAGCCGGTTTCTTATCAATACTGAAAACACAACTTTCATTTGTAAAGTAGGTCAGAAACATTCTTTGGCTCTAAGTCCTGAATGAAAGTTTCATTCAATAATCAAGAAATACGGGGAGCCCCTGATTCAACTCTTCGCCAGACGAATAGCCACGCAAATGTAGATCACTAATGGGGGATGGGGGATTTCCATAGCTGTAGGCAAGAAATAATATTATTTTACTATTTTGACCTCTTCGAATACTGGAGACATCTCACAGAAGAGTTGTGTATCTCCCTGCATCGTCGTGAGTTTACCAGTCCAAGCGTTGAGCGTGCTCCGTGTTTTTACTTCGAGTCAGTCTTCAAACGACTTTCCCCTTTTGTCGTGATCTCATGACTAAGGGCCTTGTTCTAGTGTCCCGGAGTCTGCAGTGGCTCTTGGGTTGCACACGTGAGCTTCTCATAACTCAGCGCCGTGTTCGAATTTCAGTTCTTGACTGAAAGGATTGGAAGCACGCTGGAGGCAAGGAAAACATTCCGAAGTCTGAACATGGTGAATGATCATCGATCAAGACTGGGAAGTAGTTGACAGTGACTATATGGGCAGACCCTAAACTACACGCAGTCACGTGATAAAAAAACCAACTCCGACCACAAAGTCTTTCTACTCATTGGCTGATCTTACCGGATTCCAGGAGGATGAGCACGTATCTCCCTGCGCATGTAAAACTTCGGAAAGCGCGGTAACTCGACCGTGTCTTCCCAGCAGATGATCTTGGAGGCAAGTAATTCCTAACCTGGAAGCTGCTACGACACGGTTGACGCGTAAAGGGGACATTTGACAAGAGCTTCTGGACAAATGGATTCGGCAGCTTTTGACTCACTCTTTAACACCTGAAAATCCGATCACAACAGGTGGGCTCAGTCAGCTGCGGCTCCAAACGGAATGGGACGGCCAGTGACATGACTTTCTGCTGAAGGGTTGAAGAATTGCTAAGTCTGGTGTAGCCTGAGAGGCATCGACGGTCGTATCTTTCATTCGGACTTTGCGGATGCGCGCGCTGTTGAAATGGCCCCAATGACAGATCATTTCCAAGGCTAGAACAGTTCCTTCAAAATAACACCCGCAGTTTTCACAGCATAATCTTCCGATAGGGATCTTGAAGCCGTGAGCTATGAGGACTGCAGCGGGAGATGGAGGGGGCTTTCTGAGAATCAGCATGAATCTGTTTGGTGTAAATTTATGACTGCCGACCTCAACTCTTGATACCCTACGAAGTCCTCCAGCTATCATGCGGGTTCTGGTGGTGGGGCACATCTGAAGGGGCACATGTCTCATGCTCCGTGGCCCTCCTCTGTGACCTACGCAATGGCTCTAGGTGGAGCATACTTCTGCCCAGTTCGATTGACTAGCTGCGCCTTGGGTCTGAAGATAGCGGACTTCGAAAGACGCTGACCTCGGACACGAAAGGAACGCGTTCATACAGAGCGGGAGGCACAGTGTAAAACATGCCACCTGCAGACCCACTCACTGTGACGTGATTGTCAGCTGGATGGGTACACTTGTTGACGGCTCTGCTTCGACTGTTGGGTGTGGTCGCTGATGGGAGGATTCCAGGATCAATCGTCGAGGTATCGCTTTCAATTTCCTCAATTCAAATCTCGGACGCCATCCTGACAACCTGGAGTGTGGATTGGAAGCATCAGGAAGAAGAAGCCTCATCGACGACGCTTGAGTAGTAGTCCAGGTATCAATCGACGAGGAATCGCTTCAGGATTTACCATTTGGAGTCTTCCGGGCGTCATTTCAGAATCTCTGGAGCGGGTGGAAGACCACTGAGAAGTGAGCCTGAGCAGTCGTCGTCGAGCACATTTGTCGAACTTTCTGAGAGATAGAGAACGAAAGATGGTGTACTCAATGGAGCAGCCATTCCCTCTTGCGGCGTCCACAGTGGCTCCGGATCCGACCGATTTATGGGCAGCACAGATCCGGAAACCGCCATACCCCACCAATTCTGCCTGGTTGAATTTCGTCCTGAACAAGGGCTCATGCGCCGAGTATCTCCACCCGTACATGATACAATCCCTGGACGGCAGAGTGTCGGTCTGCTACCCCAGCAGAGGCGTCGACCCGGCCTTCATCTTCCAGGCGTTCGTGCCGAATTTGAGCGTTTCCTGCAAGGAAGAAGGATCCACATCCCACGTCGTGGCGCATTACGACGATTTGAGCGTGACGCTGGAATTCGGATCGAAGCTCAGCGTGCCGCTGGTGCGGGGCTGCCCGTACATCACGTTCTTGTTCAAGGATGGCACTCCCGTCTTCTCAACGATCCATGCGGTTCTGGAGCTGCGATCCAATGCCGAGGAAACGAGGCACAAGCTGGTGATGAACAACGGGCAGACATGGATCGTCTACGCCTCGTCCACTCTGCCGCTGAACAAGGATTTGAGCACGGGCGATCACTCGTTCAAGGGCGTGGTGAGAATCGCCTGCGTGCCGAGCGGCGACGGCAGCGAGGACGTCCTCGATCGCTACAGCATGTGCTACCCCGTGGGCGGCATGGCGGATTTGTCCGTGGCCTTCCAAATGCGCTACTCGTGGAGGACGCTGGGCTGGGGCGAGCTGCTCATGCTCAGCCTGCCGCACCATCGCCAGATCCTGCAGCGCCACAAAATCACGCTGCCCGCATTCGCGTACGCGAGCATCGACGGGCCGCTGGAGGGCATCGTGGGCGACCACTGGACTCTTCGCACCGAGCCTTTGTCCATCGGGTGGTACTCGCAGCACGGCGTCAGCCCGCCCGAGGCCAAAGACGACATCATCCGCGCCGCGCTCAAGGAGGTCGACCAGCTGTGCCCCACGCAGTTGACGATACCCTCAACGTACTTCAACGGTAAGGCGCTGGCGCGCGCCGCCCGACTGGGCCTCATCGCCGAGGAGGTCTCGTGCCCGGCCATCGTCGACCGAGTGCACGAATTCCTCGTCCGCTCACTCACGCCGTGGTTCGACGGCACCTTCGCCGGCAATGCGCTGCTCTACGACGGCAAGTGGGGCGGCGTCGTCAGCCGCGACGGCGCGCGCGACCCCGGGGCCGATTTCGGCCTGGCCATGTACAACGACCACCACTTCCACTTCGGCTACTTCTGCTACGCCGGCGCGGTGCTGGCCAAGCTCGACCCGAGCTGGGGCCAGACCTGGCGCTGCCACCTCTACGCGCTGGCGCGCGACTACATGAACACGGACCCCGCCGACCACGACTTTACGCGCCTGCGCTGCTTCGACCCCTGGGTCATGCACTCGTGGGCCGGCGGCCTGACGGAGTTCGCCGACGGGCGCAACCAGGAGAGCACCAGCGAGGCCGTGAACGCCTACTACGCGGCGGCGCTGGTGGGATTGGCCTTCGGCGACCCACATCTGATCAATGTCGGGCTCACGCTGACGGCGCTCGAGAATCTGTCGAGCAGAACGCTATGGCACGTGAAATCCGATAACAACATCTACGAGCCGGCGTTCGTGAGCGCCAACAAATTGGTGGGCGTTCTGTGGGCCAACAAGCGCGACACGAATCTGTGGTTTGCGCCTCGGGACAATCGCGAGATGTGTCTGGGCATTCAGGTGCTGCCCATCTCGCCCATCACCGAGATCATGTTCCCCGACATCGAATTCGTCAAGGAGCTCGTCGAGTGGGCCTTGCCCGCTCTCAGCCGCGACGGAGTGACCGACGCCTGGAGAGGGTTCGTGTACGCCCTCATGGCTCTGTATCAACCCACCAAGGCCCATCGCTTGATCCACGAACTCGTGGCTCATGACGATGGCAACTCCCTCACCAATCTGCTCTGGTGGGTTCACACGAGGTCCGTGTGCTCATGAGCTTTGCTCCACCGCGCTCGCTTCTTCTTCTTTCTGGAGGTTTTCTCTCCATTCTTTCCTTCTCCGATGGTCGGGCGCAAAGCATACCCGTGCAGGTTACACGTACATTGTGTCACATAGATTATCCGCCTAGTGTAATATAGGATGATGATAATTGGCAGCTCGAGAGTGTAGAGTTTGTGCTAATTTTGCTCCGATAAAGGCTTTGCTGCTGTTTCTCTCTCAAGGCATGGACGAGCTTGTTCGATCCGTCGGAATTCACTGTAAAGGTCAGGTCGGTGGGCGTGACATTTTTTCAAAGCAATAACAATGTGAAGAGAAGATCCCCGAGTGGTCGTCGTCAGATCGCGTGACTCCCGGGCCAATTTACGTCCTCGACTCCAGTTTCTCACACAATGTGGAGTGTGGCCCCCCGCATTTCAGCCGGTGCGCTCCCATGCTGGACACAGACGCATCACGCCACTCCCTCCAGTCCGCTGTACAAATCGCTTTCTGAAAGCTGGAGAGTGTGCTCCGGAATCGAGGATCCACCTCGACTCCTCAATACTTCCCTTTCATTTGCAGAAAGGAGAAAAATAGAGACTGATTGGCGTACACCTCGTACCACGCAGCGTAAGAGAATTGACGTAACCTGGCCCAAATCAATGAGAGGACACACGCTTGCTTAAGTGGTTGGAATTATACGAGAAGCCTTGTCATCTCGAGGGACGAGGACAAGAGCGAGCCGAAAGCCGAAAGCCGAAAGCGAGCTTTACACCAATCGGACATGTCAAGTACAAAGCGACATTCATCCAATGGGGTACAGTATGCTGTGGGCTGTACGATTACCACCGCGGATAGTCCCAAGGCGTTTCACCATAGAAACACCAAATTCTCGTCAATTCTTTCTAGTGACATCAACCCACGTCGCACTTGCCCCGTATGAACCTCGTCATACTCTTTCTAAAACCAAATGTCTACTGTGGCAAGAGTCATCGCTTCATCATGATGAATCATATAAGTACTGCAAGTATTGCATCATAAAAGACAGCCATAAAACCTAGTCTTGTTCATGAAGCCAAAGTAGAAGGGCATTTCAGATCGAAAAACATTAAATTACTGATCGTGGAAAGCATCAAAGCTTCACTTGATCATGACTGCTGTACTCCAGTTACTCTGTTTGCACGAAGCCTCATGTAGTCTCCTCCCATCATCTTTCTAAAAGCCTGAATTGTTCCTTAGCTAAAATCATGGGGAATGTGACACCGGCTGTCCGTAACTTGGTTCTGCACCACAGCTGCTGTCTCCTTGCTGTTTCTCTTTCAATTTATATTTATATTTGAATCAAAAATTTAACTTGTATCACATTTGACTATAAATCAAAAATATCATTGAATTACAGCACATCTGATTGTGCAAATTCAGTTGAAAAAATGAGAATTTCAAATTTGAACATTGCGTTTTAATATCATGAAATCATGTCAAATATAAAAAATTAATTGAAAAAAAACTTTCAATTTTAAAAATTTTAAAAAATTAGATCGATGATTCGAAATAAATAAAGATCAATTACACAAATATTTCTATATTTCCTTATATTATATTATGTGATCTGAAGTGTGATACTTACTTAATTGATTCTATTCAAAAAAAATGCAAAATCATCAAATTATATTTCTAAATATCACATGCAGATTCGTTTAGGATTTTAACTACCGAATGGAATTTTCCTCTGTAAATCAAATGGTCTATAATATAAGTATTAACTTCAATTTATTATAGACTGCAATAACTTATTGTTTTCTTGTGCGACTTTAAATATCTTTAATATTTGTTTTAAAAGTCAAACTTTTGCAATTTCAACATTTCTAGTCTTGTATAATTCAAAAGTGATCAAATGACTTCTCCAGCAATTCTAATTTTAGTTTTGCATACATCTGATTTTCATTAGAGATTCAAATCTTCATTTTTTTACAATGAAATATACAGATTATAATCTTTGAACAAAAATGTGGGGAATCTAAAATTACTATGAAATGAAGAAAGTGAAAATTTAGGGTTTAGGGTTTCGAGTTTTTTAAGCAACTAACTACTCCTCTGAATAATAATATAAATATGTAAGTATATATGTAATAATATAAATATGTACACATTTTCACGAACTCCGGAGAACTGCACGAAGATGTGATCAATTGATCACATCTTCGTGCAGTTCTCCGGAGTTCGTGAAAATGTGTAAGGACTGGCGCACGGAGATAGTAGAATGTGTTTGGAGGATAGAAAAAGATTTAGATGTGAAATACTTAACTCGATAATCCAAAAAGTAACAAATGTGTGTTATCTTCCAATTGGCCATTAATCTTGGATACAAACGGATATAGCCTATATCATGTAGGTAAGTGATAATAATATTTCGCTGTATGATTTGAGTTGATTTGTTTTCGGTATTAATTGAAGCGAAGTTTGTACAGATTTTTTTTCGTAGATTTTTTATTTGTCTCTACGTTACATTATGATGCGCATTATAGATGAATGTTACTTTTGCATTTTAGACGATTTGCATATATTTACGTGTAAAATTTGCAAATAAAGGTAGATAGAGGATACAATTGTACAGATTGCAAATGTAATGAAACAGAAGTGTCACAGTTTACAACTGTCTTGCTGATTTTATCAAGAGTATAATCATGCGGGCGAGGTAACTGTAAATGGTTAGGATAATATATTGTTGTACGTTACACGAGTAATTTACCGATGTGGCGCTAATATGTGGGTGAATAAATTCTTTTATGCACGAACGTTCAAGTTTCGAGAGCATGTGAACATATGCTTCGGAGTGTGTTTTAATTCGTGTGCGACGTATCAATTGTAGTAGCTTCCAGTAACAAGTAATGCAAGGTGATATATGTTCGTGAGACAGATGCATGCTCGAGTACAGACATGGTAGATGTTGGAAGACAGAGTTTCGCGTATAACGTGAAAGGAGAAAACGATGGATAAGAAGAGACTTGCATGTGAATCGTGTCGAGGCGAGTGGGGGATATGCATACATCGACGACAAAGCAGATCATTTGATTCTTTGAGGGCAAAAAGATCACTTGAGGTGATTGTATAGATTGTAACCGTGGAAGTTTGTTCTAGCGAAGGGCAACATAATAGTCTTGCTCCGCTGATACAAAGCCAAACTACAAATGATAATTTGGAAAAGCCTAGCCCAGCTTCGGCGTGTAACGACCTCTCACTTTACCTGAATGAGTGTGTGCCTTCACTGGTCGGTTGGGTCTGACGAGACAAGCAAGAACACGACGGAGAACTTCCATCGAACCTCCAGCACCAACCTACCGGCAGACTAATCCTTCACTGATGTTTGAGTATATCCAACCCCTTAGCTCCGAAGATCATTCAGGACTGCGCGGCCCCATCCCGCGACCTTCATCCTTTCATGCTTTTTTACAGCGAGAGTCGCGGCCGGACATCGGCTCCAAAAGGGCGTCATTCATGTGACGACTGTCAAATCACTCGAGGACTTGTCACGCTAGGCATTAAGTTGCAACAAGCTGATGTTCATTTGCGTTTTACCAAAAGAGGATTCTACACATCTACACCACTACAGTAGCTAACTCAGCTCTGCGTAACAATGATACAATGTCAGAGACTATCAACAAGATGGATCGTATTTCTGTAAACGCCAGATCGTTTGTTTGATTTCCTGACCCTAATGCTGCATGCAAATTGGTGGACTTCTGCTGAACCCGCGGTGGATTATGGTTCTCATTTTGAGATGGCCATGACTCCTCCAGCGTCGCGGAAGTGCTTGCAGTTGGCTTTTCGGTATTCTGCACATACACAGATTAACTCCAAGTCAGATGACATACATGACCCACGGACTGCACGTCTCCAGCTCATGCATGACGTATCGCACGCCTATGAACTGAAAATAAGCAGAGCAGACGCAATCCACAACTTACCCTCTTGATTGTTCCAAAGAGCCGCTGCGTAGCTGTTCAAAGGGCTGTCATTGTTCGGTTCTGCGCAGACAGTTCGTTCCTAGTGAGATTCTACAATCCCTTACCTTCAAACCTAAAAATTCAAGACTGGACGGATGGGAAAGAGAGACGGGGCAGCATTGATGGTTGGGACACATTCCGGAATTCAGTTGCCTGCTAAAAGTACAATCTGCGGATCCTGGACGTTACCTCCAAGCAAGCTTTGAATGGAGAGCAAAATCGTCCTCACATCGTATGCGGATGACCACTTATCCTGAAATTTGATATGAACGGAGAATCGAGGTCAACATGTGAATCATGAGAGCAATTCCGGCTACACCTACGTGACGGCTTCTTCATAATTTGGTCTCAAATCCATCACACAATTTCAACTAGCGAAGGGAGTTCGTTAGAAGCTTTTATTGGTCTGGAGCAAAATCGAAGGCGCAAGAGCTTGTATAAGTGGATCACGTACCTGCAGAATGTCAAGGCATATGTTCCCGTATTGATCCACGTTCGGGTGGAAGCAAGCAGTGTCGAACTTCACTAGCGGAGGCTTGAAAGGATAATCCGTGGGAAATTTCAACGTCAGCTTGTACGACATGCCTTCGTACACGGTACTCTTGCTACCCTTGATGGTTCCGACCCAGGAGAATATGTTGTCGCCGTCGGGAAACGCTGATATACCAGGATCCCCGCAAGTCTGCAAAGATGCCAGAAGGCAGGGTGAGACAGAAAAATCGTTGGAGTCAATCACAGAAGTCACGAATCTCAACTGGACAGAATTCAAAGATTTTATGCTAGCCGCAGAAGCCGCTTACCATAAGCGACATCAACTCCGACTGTAACCTGCACATCGCGAGCAATCACAGGCCAGAACAAAATTGATCAGCGAGACACTAAAAAATCGATCTCGGATTCCTAGATTGTCCACCACCGGACATAAGGACAGAAACATAGAGAATCCAAAGACTATGCCCGGGTTGATGGAACTCGTGGAAAAGCCTCAGTACCATCCTTCTCCATCCGACTGGACATCGGGAATATAAATCGAAACGTAATGAAACTCGCAATCAAACGCTTCATCGTCAAAACTAGTTAGCGATGGACATTCCCAGTAAAGAGTTAGAAGAAAGTTATATCCTTTGGGCGCGGGTGAAAATCCAATGGGATACAAGGTATACAGAACTACCACTCTTGTAGATTTAAGAGAGAAGCATATACGTGAGGAGGAATTCGGATCTGGACAAAGGTTTGAAAGTTCGCTGTAGACTCAAGTGAAGCCGGCACAAGTGGTGGTGGACTTCGACTTTGAAGAAGACCTTGGACTTCAACCACTCGGTCTACGAGCGATTGGAAAATATCAACGGAACATAACATCAGATGTCCAGAGAGAAGAATGCAAGAAATGCAAATTAATCGCATAAGGAGGTCTCAAACGGGAAGAGTTCGATAATCCAGGTCGAATCTGCACGCACGAGTTTCAAAGTCTACAGCGCTGTCATCCGACAAGAGTCTCCAGACGCCAGGAGGTGGAGAAAACACACCTTCGCGAGACAGAGTGACTGTCCACAGGCTGAGACACGGCCCGGGATGCTTTCGCATTAGGAGCGTGCGCAGCAATTGCCGCGGTGTTGTTCGTCTGCTGCTGAGCAGCGATAGCATCCGTGCCACCGGCGTTTTGACTCATGTTTCCACCTGTTCGAGTCGAATTCTCGACGGATCCTCGACCCACAAAAGCTGCGCGTCCACCGGCACGTCACGTCCCACTCGAGCAGCGACGCAATTCCTCGCCCGGAAGCCGACTCGCTTGCCACACAATCCTCAAAACCTCGGATCGAAAATTCGATCACACGAAGTCCGTCGCGAACGTCTTGAGCGCGCTCGAAACCCGAACTACCCTCCCTTGTTGCTCCTCTAGAGAGCTTCCGCCCCACTCCTCGTTTCCAGGAAATGCAAAAGACAACCTCAAACAAAACTATGCCCTTTCACTTGCCCCCTTCCTCCCTCCCTTCCTTCCTCGCTCTCTCTGTTTCCCTCTCTCGACTCTTCTCTTCCACATTCACCGCCCGTCTATCGGAGGACCTTTCATCAACTCACAAGACTCCAAACGGCCTGAAAACTCGCCGATACAAGCTCCGAAACAAACAAACAAGCGGACTTCTGTAGCAGAATCCAATAAACAATTCGTCCTACGCTATCGGTCTCCTCTCCCTGTGCTCCGTCCGTGATCGAACTGCAGAGCAAACGGGTCCAGACCCAACACGAGACACAACAAATCAGCTGCTCGGGAGGAAACCTCTTAGCGAATGCTGCGCTCGTGTCGAGATCGAATATCCGCGACGGCTAGCCCAGGAGAGCGCCAAGCGAATCAATCAATCGGTCGAGAGAAAGCAAAAGAATTGAGACCGAGCTCGTATTTATAGGCTTCCTCCGCTCCTCGAGGCCCGACCTTTTTTCCGTTCTCAGAATGACTGACGGAAGACGACGACGACGACTACGACGACGACGAGGGACGGAGGTACGGAGGGAGGGACCGAGCGCGGGTGCAGGGAGGGAGGGAGGCGGACAGCGGAATGCCTTGGGGGCAGAGAGGGATGGGCAAAGGACGCGTCGGCAGGGAATGCCCGTAAGCAGAGACTATTCAGCACGTGGCGAGTATGGATTAGATCGCGGGTTGAGCACCGGGAGAACAAATCATGCGCTTGGACGGGAGCTCATCCAGCTGGACGCCCACGTCGGACGAATAGGACCGTTGACGACTGGCCCTCGAGCGCTCATTTGAATTTCAACGGTCGCGATGCGGAGGCCGGCTCGGCTGCACCGTCCGATAAAGGGCCACGTAACGGCCAGGTCAGCCCCGTGGTTTATGTGACTGTTGGAGAACAGCGTCGTTCGTTCGCTTCTGTCTCTCTCTCTCCCCTCCCTCCCCTTCGCCCCTCTGACATGAATTCTTCGTCGTCCTCGCTTCCGGTTTTTGCTATTTCTGTCCATTCGCTGAACGTTGAGATTCCTGTACGCCCTGTGCGCTTCCTTTTCGAAAATAGGAACGTTGTGCCGCGCTGAGGACGGCTCCCGTTCCGCTGCTCGCTCTTCGCCAACTCCGCTGTGGTCTCGGTCCTCTACTCGGTACATCCAACCACGTACGCATTTGACCACGTGCTTTTACATGTGACTTTCCCGAACTGTCTTCTCCGTGCGACGACCACTCCCGAAGTTCCGAACGGTACAGAAGGGCCGTAATCCACTTCGCTCTTTTACATCTTCGTTGCACCAATTTCTAAACCGTTTCGCTAGAAGTACGATCTGGAGTGGTGCCGCCCCCGATTTCATCTGCATACTGTTCGTAATACGATTCGATGTTATCTACTGTCGCTCCAGGAGACTTTCCCTACGGATCCAAGCGTTACTGTGGACAGAAATGACCGAAAATTGCGGGCAGACTCGGATATGAGAACAGTTGTTGAGACTTTCTAGGGTCACAAGTGGCAAGAATTAAAGGCTTTGGCTTCCTCTGATATTTTTCCAGGGGCCCAAATTCGGTTCGGTGATTCTCGACATGGGTTTCCTTCTTTTACGTTTTTCCTGACTTCCCGATCCAACCTACGCAAAGGGATCATGACTTCGTGCGACTAAAGTAATTTTGTTGTAAAACGTCTTCCGTCACAGCATTGATGACTTAACTTTGGGTAGGACCCGTCTTCGTCGGAGCCTACCTTGTCCGGGAAGTTATGCACACATCTATTGGCGAAGTTAGGAAAGCTAAGGCTAGAGAACCAGATAATTTAATTGCGATAAACCAAAACTGACTCTCATTTGATTAAAATATTGCTTTTGTAGTTTCTTCGTTTCCTGCGAGAAGCCCATTTATCCTGTGACTAAGAGATATATAAGATCAATTTAAAAAATACATGTTAGAACTAGATTCTTACTGTATATACCAACGCCTCACACCTTATGATTTAAAATGAAGTGAGCATAAAGAAGCCTACTACCTGAAGCTACAATATTGCTTCGATGTATGCGAGTGGATGGATGGATAATATATCCCGTAGCCGGCTCTATAGACATTAAGATTATGTTCTATGTGGATCTCATGATGTTTTTTCCAACCGGTTGAAGAAGGCTGTCGTAACCAAATCGTGTCCTACGTGATGTGATGACAACTATCATTTTTAAAAGTTCCCATCTTATCCATCAAATTTAAGGCCACATCATGGCGTTTCACTGTAATATTAGGAATTTCTAATATTATGGTGCGACATATAATTTGTACGGAGAACACTTAAGTTGTAGTTCCCACATATTGCATTGCAAAAATCCGTCATTTTTATTATTCTACTTCTATGGGATTCCATAGGGAATTTAACTCTTCAATGTATATGTTTTCTGATGCCACACATGAGATACCGATCAAACCAAGTCAATTTTCGCAGAGTTGTTCATGAGGTGGGTAAGTTGCCGCCAAAATTGCGCATGATAAAAGACAGATTACTCGTGGTAAAAATACGCGTGTAATTCTGTCAAAAAACGTGTATGGTAGTTGAGCAATTCCCAGAAAACAGCTACCCTCACCAAATTATTTTACAGAGGTAAATTGAAAAGATCCGTATAAAAATAAAAGATGATTCCAGGAATACAAAATCTTCTCACTACACTCCAATGCTCAAGGAATATATAACTCCTTGAAATGTCTTCAGTGACCAAAACTGTTACGGGGGTATTTGGTACACCATAAGATTTACGGGCAGGGTTTTCAGGAACCCTTAACTCTTCTCCTGTGACGGCATTTCGTTGAGGGTGATTGGTTAGTCCTGACATCCCTTAATACGTCTTGAAATACATCTTTCAAATTGTTAGAAAAGCTTGATGTACATTTATAAAATATAAACAGGCCCATGTCAATTCGTTCACAAAAGTACAGTAATTATTCGATAAATTGACCCTCAGGGTGTTCAGTTGCTGCAGAACTTGATAACCGTGTGAATCAAATTGTCTCCAGGATAATGACAACGACAGAGAGAACAAACACATTAAACTTAATACAAAGCAAATGATTATCAAAGGGTTATAGCTTGTACCACCGCCAGGAGATGCGAAACAATGACAAGGGCACCTCTGCACACCTCATTACTATCAAACTTAAACTTAACCTCCGTTAAGAGGTCCACTCTTCACTCCAACTTTAACTTTTTCTCTCACTCTTATACTTTTAATCCTTATCCTTTCTCGGACACCATGTTCAAATATTCCATCGTTCATGTTAGACCATCTTCACCCCTCAACTGTAAATAATACCATAGTACATCATGGAAGCATGATTCTAGCATCTTGTCTTTTGCGCTTACGTTTTTCAAGAATGTTATTCTTGTGGGTCAACTTGAAATCTCAAAGTGCAAATTCCTCGAAATTAATGCAGTATCGCGATCTATGGTGAAAATTTGAGAAGTATGTCTGGAATATGGAACATGTTGGAGACCGTATGTGGTAGGGAGTCAACTTTTCGTCAATGATTTTCCGCATAGCAACTTCGGAATGTATTTCCATTAAGACTCATAAAGCAAAATAAATTTGTACAACTCGATGGGTCTTCCCAACCTTCTTGCTATATCAGTTGCTAACCTAGGGCCCTCTCCTCTCCGTCAGTAGACAAGGTTTCCTCTTCCAATGTCAAGTCCAAAGAGCTTCGTTGGACCGCCAAACTAGCGACATTCACTCACCCACCCTACCCACCGAAACCCTGACAGCAGAATGAGCTCACTCCTCTGGTCGCTGCTCTACATGAACCGGACGGAGGCCCGCTTCTCCCTCGACTGAACCTGGACTTAACCTAGACTTAACCGGGGTTCATCCGACCTCGCGTCTGCAGGCCGAAACCACGTCGGTCATCTCAAACCGCGGTACGTCGGTCCGTGCTTGACTTTTCAACCCAGTACGAAAGACGTTACCACAACTTCATCTCCTGTAGTATCCGATTTCCGGACCTCGGTCACAGTAGGCCGTTTCGTAACACGCACGGTTAAATCTCAGGGTTCGTCGTACGAGTTTGTTTCTGGACACGGATGGTGACCGGTTAGCCACCTGTTATGCACTATACCGGCTACTCAAATAATTCGACATTTCTGAAAGGGACCGGGACATGCAGTTGCTCGTGTTAGTCGTCTACGGGAAATCTAACTCGATGGACCGCTTCATGACAGGCCCGTTGAATATCATCGCCAGTCATAGGAGTTTGTTGCTGGACACGGATGGTGACCGGTTGTCCACTTAACAAAAAAGTACTTGTTGATTTTTTATCTTATAACCTAAATAAGAAGTGTGTAATTATTTGTAATTATGGATTTAACTAATAATCTACGTTCTATACGAGATAGATTTAAAGTTTTATTATATATCAACCATTTTTAAATCTTTTTTTAAAAGATAGATTTTAAAGCTATGCAGTACAACCGGCTCATCAAGTCTTTCGACATTTCTGAAAGTACCCGGGACATTCAGTTGCTCGTCTTAGTCGTCTAAGGGATCCAAATTTGATAGGCCGTTTCATGACAGGCCGGTTGAATGTCTTCGCCAGTCACACAAGATTTCTTCTGGACAACGGATGGTGACCGGTTGTGCAACTGTAATGCAATATATCGGGTCTTCAAATAATTCGACATTTCTGGAAGTACCCGGGACATTCAGTTGCTCGTCTTAGTCGTCTACGGAGTCAAATTTAATAGGCCATTTCATGACAGGCCGGTTGAATGTCTTCGCCAGTCGTACAAAATTGCTCCTGGACAACAGATGGTGACCGGTTGTGCACCTGTAATGCACTATACCGGGTCTTCAAATAATTCGACATTTCTGGAAGTACCCGGGACATGCAGTTGACCGTGTTAGACGTCTAGGGAAGTCAAACTTGAAGGGCCGTTTCATGACAGGCACGGTTGAATTTCATGGCTAGTCATACGAGTTTGTTTCTGGACACAGATTGTGACCGGTTGTCCACTTGACTTTAAGTTCTTGTTGATTTTGTTATCGTATAACCAAAATAAGAAGTGTGTAATTATTTTTAATTATGGATTTCACTAATAAATTTATAATTTTTATATGAGATAGATCTAAAGTCTTATTATTCATTTACCATTTTTAAGGATTTGTTCGTTAACAATTAAAATTTAAAGCTATGCAGTACAACCGGCTCTTCCAGTCTTTCGACATTTCTGGAAGTGACCGGGACGTTCAGCTGCTCGTGTTAGTCGTCTACGGGAATCAAATTTTAATAGGCCGTTTCATGACAGGCCGGTTGAATGTCTTCGCCAGTAATACAAGTTTGCTTCTGGACAACGGATGGTGACCGGTTGTGTACCTGTTATGCAATTTACCGGCTCTTCAAATAATTCGACATTCCTGAAAGGGACCGGGACATTCAGTTGCTCGTGTTTGTCGTCTACGGGAAATCAAACTCGATGGGCCGTTTCATGACAGGCCCGTTGAATGTCATCGCCAGTCCTACGAGTTTGTTACTGGACACGTATGGTGACCGGTTGTCTACCTGTTTACTATTAATGTAACATTA